AACGCCCTCTTGAAGAATACTTGCATTAGAGAAAAAATTAATTAATAATCCAAAATAATAGCTATAAATGGCAATGAAAAAGGATATATGCGCATGTGAAAAAAAAAGATTAATGTAGTATTTGTAGTTAGATAATTTATATTCTGTATTTCTTTGCCTGTTCTCTTTTCATGATTTTCCAAAAATGTAACTAGACGAACAGATTGCGGTCGATGCGATTGATTCGCCACTTTACGATAGTTCGATAGTCGATTATATCGATATTGCGAAATTGCGTCTGAATAATAACAACGCGCGTCGAAATCGCGTCGTCACGAATCCAATTTTCAATATAACAATGTCATATATAAAGAGCAGAGTTCATGATTAAGTTTATAATTATGAATACAAATATCTATAGTGCAATCGGCTTCCGGTTCCGGTAAGAGAGTGAGTGACAGGTGTGTGAAAGCGTGGCAGGTATTTGTGAGGAAAGAGTGAGAAAAGGGGTGAGGTGAATAGGAGATAAGAGGTGAGAGGGTGTAGAAAAAAGAGAGGAGAGATTGAAAGGATAGGAGAGGATAAAGGGGTAAGGAGTTAGAAAGGAGAAAGTAGGAAAAGGTGAGACACGTGGACACGTAGACACGTGGAAGAAAGAGAGTAGGTGTAGGGAGTAGGTACAAGTAGAATAAAAAGATAGGGAATTCACTAGGGAATTCACTAGCGAGTTGGAGCGAGTTGGAGCATAGAGTAGGTGAATCGAAGAAAGAAAGCGATAAGAGGAAAATGATTAATGAAGAAAATATTAGAGATAGGAGGATAGAGACCAATAGAGATAGGATGTTAGAGGAAGGGGGAAAAAAGGGAGATGAGGAAGAAATAAAAAAAGAAGGCAGGGAGGCCGAGAAGAGTAGATGAGTTAGGGAAGGAGAGGAGGAGCAGTATGGGATGTATAGAGGATTTTTTGAAAAGGAAAAGAGAAGAAGGGGGAGAGGAGGATAAGGAAGAAGAGGAAAGAAGCCTAAGAAGGAGCAAGAAGACAGAAAGGCTGAATAGAGAGGTAGGGGGGATAGAAAAGGAGGAGTTAAGGAGGATGATGGAGGAGATAGGGGAGAAGATAACAGAGAAGTTAGGCGAAGAAATGAGAAAGTTGAAGATAGAAATTTGGAAAAAGGAGGGGGAATGGAGAGAAGAAAGAAGAGAATTGAGAAAAGAGATAGAGAGCCTGGAGAAGAGAGTGATAGATTTGGAAGCAAGAGTAGAGGAAAGAGGAAGAAAGGAGGTAAGAGAAAGAGAGGGGGGCGAAGGAGGGAGTAAGGGGATGGGATAAACGAGACAATAATAGGAAAAGTGAAGGACATAGGAAAGAAATTAGAATGGAAGGAAAGAGAAGAGAGAAGAAACAACATAGTAATAAAAAGAATGGAGAAAGGGAAGGAAGGTGTAAAGGAAAGAGTAGAGAAATAATAATGAAAGAGATAGGAGCGAAAGCAGAGATAGAATGGATAAGGATGTTGAAAGGAAAGGAGGGAAAGGAAGGTGAAATGGTGGTAGTAAAACTAGGAAGTGGAGAACAGAAAAGACAGGTAATGGAGAGGAAGAAGATATTAAGAGGAAAGAGGGTGAGAATAGAAGATGATTTAACATGGGAAGAGAGAAAGATAAAATGGAGACTAATGGAGATCGCGGAGATAGAAAGGAGGAAAGGAAACAATGTATGGACGAGCTATGGAAGGATAAAAATCAATGATGTATGGTGGAGATGGGAAGAGGAGGAAGGTGTGCTTAAAAATTGGAAAGGAGAAATTAGAGAAGGTATAGAGAAAATGAGGGGGGGAAGAAGGGGGTATGAAGACAGGAATGGAGGAAAAAAAAGGGATAGAAGAAGGGAGAAGAGAGAAGGAAGGAGGAAAGGAGGAGGGGAGAACAATAGTAAGAAGAGAAAGGAGGAAGGAGAAAGGGGGACGGAGGAAGGAAGGAGAAAGGAACAGGAGAGAAAGGAAAAAGGAGGGGAAGTAAGAGAAGAATGGAAGATAGGTTTTTGGAATGTGGCAGGGCTGAAGAATAAGGAAGAAAAGTTCTGGAAGGAAATAGAAGATTGGGAGGGTGGTGGTGATGATGGAAACATGGATAGAGGAAAGGGGGTGGGAGGCGATTAAAAAGAGGTTACCGAAAGGATATAGATGGGAGAAGCAAGCAGCAAAGAAGAGAAAGAAGAAGAAAGGAAGACCGATGGGGGGAATGATCATGGGGGTAAGGGAGGAGAGGGGAAAGATAAAAGTATCAGGAATGGGAGAAAAGGCGGAGGGAATAATGATGGCGGATTTAGAAGTAGGAAGAGAGAAGTGGAGGGTAATAGGCGTATACATCAACGGGGACATGGAAAGGAAATTGGAGGAAATGAAGGAATGGATGGAAGAGAAAGAAGAAAATAAATGGACGATTTTGGGAGGAGATTTCAACGCAAGGACAGGTAGAAAGGGGGGGGGTGATAGGAGGGAAGAAGAAAGAAGATCAAAGGACAAGAAAGTTAATGAGGAAGGGAAGAAGTTGATAAAAGAGTTGGAAGAGGTGGGGAATTTTTAACGGAGGGATAAGAGGGGATAGGAAGGGGGAGTACACATATACAGGAGGAAGAGGGGAATCGGTAATAGATTACGTGGTGGGAGAGGATAGAGTAAAGGAAAGGATAAAGAGAATGGAGG